GTGTGTGGTGTGTGTGTGTGTGTGTGTGTGTGTGTGTGTGTGTGTGTGTGTGTGTGTGTGTGCAAAAAAACACACCACAGCTGCTTCTGCTTTTGGACAGCGATGCAAGCTGTTCAAGTCCTGGTAATGTTTCCTCAAATGTCCTCATGTGTGTGGACTTCCTCTACTGATTTGCTCTAAGTGCTTGAATTCAGCTACAAAAAGCATCAACTGAAAAACAAAACAAAATAAAAAAACAAACAAAAAAAAAACACAAAGTAAATTGATTTATGTTTGAGCCTTTTAGGCTCTTGTATCCATGTTGCCAAGATATAAAATGTTTAATGACTTTTCCTTTACTTATAAAAAGAGGGTGAAATAATGGATGTTATCAGCCACCTCTGAAGGAGAGTGATGTTTTTGTCCAAGTCTGTTTATTTTCTACTGAATCACATGATGACTGTGAATGATTAACATTTAGAGTCATTCCCATTAAAGATGGCTGACACAATGTTGACGTTTTGGCTGCTTAGCCAGTTTTACAGATATTGATGTAAAATTTGGTATATTAAGCAGAGTAGTTTTTTGGAGCGTATGCCCGTGTGTTTTTTTTTCTGTATAAAACACAGGCTCAAAGGTCTTTTTTACCTCATCCTTCCTATGTGTGTGTATTCTAAACTGCAAAGGTAGCGCACTACGTTGCGAAAGAGCCTGGACATTCGTTCCCCCGTGTTCGTTATGTGTGTGTGTTTCTCCGGACGGATGTTCTAAATTGCAAATTTCGTTCTACATTGCATCATGATGTTGTGTATGAATGACAATAAACGATTCTTGATTCTTGATTAAAAACGGAGTCATCTCCAACTACACACATCGAGCATTTAAAAGGAGATATGTGCTTTCAAATCTTTCTTTTTCACATTTAAATCATTCAGTTGGGGTCTATAGAAAGGAACTGCTAAGTTTTGGTCTGAATTTTTTTTTCAGATACTGTATTGATCCCCTGGTGGGTAAATTAAGTCTCTGCATTTTACCCATTGCACATGTGGATCAGTGGGCTGCCAATTACAGCACCCAGGGAGCAGCTGGGGAGGTTAAGGGCCTTGCTCAGGGGCCCAAGGTGGGGCTGGTTGGTGGCGACCTTCCGATCACAGACACGGCTTCTTTACCCTCTGCGCCACCACCTCCCCAATTCCTCCTTGTTGTAACTCCACAAACCCGTTTCACCCCTTTTCTGAAGCGTGTCTCAGATCAACTCATTTTGATGCTGTCTCTTTAAATCCAAAGGAGGCACTTCAAGCCCCGCCCCCTCCTAGAGCAGCCCACTCCTAAGCTGTCACTGTTTTAGCTCCACAGGCTTATCATCATATAGCTTCACAGAAATTTTTATTTACAAATCATTACATTTGTAATGGTTAGCACCGACATTTGTTGCAGGATGATGACATCATCCAGCTTAGCTAACTTAAATATAAATTTTAATAGCGTTTAACGTTTAACTTTTACATTTATATTTACGCATTTAGATAGGATTTAATATTTACACATATATTTTTTAACATTTAACAATGTAATTTTTTTAGCAAGAACTATTGTTGGTTGTAATTTATTGTGTATTTTTAGCAGTTATTGTGGTTTTGTGATATTTGTGGACTGCTGTACAGCACTTTGGTGCAGCTATTAACTGTTTTAAAAGCGCTTTATAAGTAAAGTTGACATTGACAACAATGAGCTAAATAATGAATAAAATATTAATGTACAGCTTAAAACTATTTACACTCATAAAATAAGCTAAATATGTGCACATTTTGAATATTTCATTTTACACTCCCCCAATAAGAATATTATATTTTCATGACATTAATAAGGTAAAAGATAAGACGTGATTGTAAATAAAAATTTTGGTAATAAAACATAAAAGGAATGCTTCTATTTCATCACCCGCGCAAAGAGAGCAGTCCGTGTGCCAAATTACGCATAAATAGCTACAAATTATTCACAGTTTTGCTCCAAACCTCTGATGTGGCTGCGCGTTCTGGTGCGTCACATGGAGAGGTGCGGTTTGCGCAGCGCAACTCTCCCCACACGCTCCATAACTGATGTAGTGATGCACAGAGAGGCTTTTACTCTCTCTGAAGAAGCTTTCTTTTGGATTCTTTAACTTTTCGTCCTCCTGGGTGTCTCTCTCTGGAGCGATGGGCCGCGCGCAAAGCACCTCTTGAGACGCGGGTCGTTCAGAACCAGAGGTCCACGGACTCGTCGGCGGCTCCGGATGAGGCGCAGCTGGAACACCGCGAGCCAGTGACCGAGCGCCGCTTCCACGCATCCAAATATGCGCGTAACTGGAGCGCGCTGGCGAGGCGTCCCTCCTTGCACCCGGGTCGGGAAAACCTCCCTGTCGTGATGTTCAATAGCTCGGGGATCGAGCCCACTTTAAACAAGAAGGAGGACATCGTTTCCGAAGTTCTCAATGGCACTTTGCAGCTGTACAACAGCGTGCTCGTCACCACGAGCCCCACGGCCGCGTGGAACGGGTCGTGCGGGGAGCAGCTGCTGGACTTCGGGCGGCCGGAGAAGATCGTCATCGGGGTGATGCTGGCGGTCATCACGGCGGTGACCGTGATGGGCAACACGCTGGTCGTGATCGCCGTGTGCGTGGTGAAGAAACTTCGGCAGCCTTCGAACTACCTGCTGGTGTCCCTGGCGGTGGCCGACCTGTCGGTGGCCATCGTGGTGATGCCCTTCGTCATTGTGACGGACCTCACGGGGGGCAAGTGGCTGTTCGGGGACCTGTTCTGTAACATCTTCATCGGCATGGATGTCATGTGCTGCACCGCCTCCATCATGACCCTGTGCGTGATCAGCGTGGACAGGTGAGATTGTCTTTTGGAAAGTGGACGCAGATCTTTATCAGTGAAAGAAGTCAGATTTACGCACGAGGCGCGCCGCGCGTTAAACACACGCGGAAACGTCACAGCCACAAAACATCTGAGAGCACGGAGAGAATGATGCAATGAACTGTAAGTTTAACACAAAGAAAAACATTTTGGGTTGGAATAAGTCCAAATCCCAGATTAAGCGTGATTATCTGTAGAAATAAACCAAAAAATAATTCCGGCAAAAAACAAATAAAGTAGACTTAATTTACCTGACCCCTGACCCTCTGACCCTACATCTGTCAGGATGTATCTGCACTCACCACACCTCCCCTGAACGTAAATCTGAGCCAAGACTGCTGGGATTATACACACACATCCAGTGAGTCAAGTTTACTTCAGGAAAATCCTCCTGTTTGTCTGTCGGACTGCATACATAAATATGAGTTATTTTACTCTGATGTTTTGCAACAACACATTGCTCCGCAAATATTCATGAAAGGGTGTCCCCTGGTGCCTCGCAGCTTTCGATTCGAATGCAAAACAGGGAGAAAGAAAAAACCTGAACCTATAAGGATCCCAGTTTTGCATTTTCTGCACTGTCTCCTTTGTTGGTGGAGGCAGAACTGGAGCAGACAGCACGAGACAGATAAACACATCCCCACGGCTCACATTAAAGTCTAAAAGGAAGGAGAGGCCAGCTTCATTGTTTTTTTTTTTTGGCTTTAGTGACTCTAATGAAGACAGAAGCTCATTGATGATCTAATTATTTCCAATCTGTCCTTACCTCTGTGCTTTTTAACCCAGAATCAGTTTGGCTGATCTGAGAATAATGTCTTTAAAACACACATGAGGGGCTAATGATGTCAGATTATCACCCGGGTGGAACCAGGAACTGCACAGAGACCCGGGGTCAAAGGTCACACACAGGTCACAGTGATCAAAAGAACAAGGTTGGAGATTATTTTCATCTCCACACAAGTCAATGAACAGTGCTGCAGACAGATTTTTTTCTCCCAGATCTCCATGGAAACAGACTCATCTTAATTAAACAATCCAAAGTGTGTTCGGCATGTAACACACAATGGGAATAGTAGTGATATTTCATTAGGACTGTAATTGGGAAGTAGACACATGATTAGAAGTAATTAAAGGTCTCTTCTTGTCATTTTGGATTCTAAAGGGGCACTATTTGTAAAACGAAGCGCAGGAAGCAGAGGAAAAGATTTTTTTTAAAGACATGCATCTTGGTCCCTTCCTTGCCAACGTTGTTAAAAAAAGATGGTGTGATCTCATCAGTGCTCAGAGTTAGTGTTGGGGATGACTCACAACCACTTCTGTACAAAATTTCATCTGAAAAGAAAAAAAAACAGAGTCATGACCATTTTTGTGTTTGTTGCAGTGGTTTAGCTGTGGCGGCCATCTTGATTTAGGTTAACTCCAAATGTTAATCAATCAAAGAAGGACACCAAGGGACTAGTTTCTGAGAAGTTCATCAAAATCTAAGTGGTCTGTGAAATATTTTGCTAACAGACAAGCAAGGTTGACTCCAATGGTTAATACCAAAGTTTTAAACAATGGATCTGCACTCAGAGTGAGTGATGGGAATATGTCTTACAACCACACATAATTTTAGCTCAATATTTA